GTTCTCCAGTTACAGATGTTTGAGAAGTCACCCATGGATGCACAGAACTGAATTCAAGAACTGTTCCTCTGCAGGAGCAACAATTGCTTTGGCCAACTGAGTCAACCCTCCAGTCCCCACACCCTGAGTTTGGAGAAAAAAAAACCTGTCTCCTTTCTCTTCTCTGTCTATTGTAAGCAAACATGCATGTCTGTTTCATCCTTTCTATAAATCCTTCATCACATAATCTGCTTAGTCTAGTCCAGACAGGTTTCTCCAAAGAAATCCTGCTGGGATGTGCTTGGGGCAATCAACTGAATGGAATCCCAGTATCCAATTCATTGGATAAAAAGCTAACTAGTCCAGCAACTGGGTATAGTATCCGGGAATCCACTGATCTCCATGTTTCAACTCACTTAGAGGGGCTTTTAAGGGCTGAGCCCCCATGTTGTCTTTCCCAGGAGTCTGTGTACGCTACAGATGTACTGAAGTCTACCCAGGTGGCCTTGGTAACAATGCTGGCTGCTGCTTCTGGAATACACCTGGAGGTCAGAACTGAGAGGATCCCATGATTGCTTCAAGCGTTTGAGAGGGGGCTCCAGTAAAGAGCTGTGAGCAGATGCCAAGGGGCTGAATGCCTCAGCCAATAAGCGGGGATGTAATACAATCATTGTCTTCCAGCTTGAGGTCTCAGAGACTTCGGAAGCATGAGCTGTAATGAAATCCAGTGTCTTGGTTTTCTGCTGCCCTGCACTGTGGAGGTCAGACAGGATCAGAGTGTGGGCAGCATTTTTAACACATAGGTGCCTGCAGAGGGCATCCTCGCACATGACCTATAAACGCTCCAGGCCATACTTGTGAGCATCTGCCAGTATAGAATCTGCCATGCTGAGGAGGACTGTTATCTTCCCGTTATAAATGAAGTCCATCATTGCCTTGAAGACTTGGGGCTCCAGATCCTGGATCTCCACGCGGTTTTTTTCTTCTCTGCTCCATGTCATGTTCAAACATGGCTCTGAAAACTGGAGAGCGAGCTGCTAAGATGGCCTTGTGAGCTTGGAATTCCTGGCCAGCTACCACCAGGCAGCAGTCTGTGAAGAGGGAATTCTCCCACAGCTGTCCTAGCACATCTGCCATCGTGCACCTTGGAACCTGGATACCTGGCACCGTGCTCTCCTCAGAGTTGATGAAGGAGTCTTGGATCGCCAGGTCCACATCACATAAGACAGTGAGTTCATTGTCTGGGAGAAGCCAAGACTCCAGACTCAAGAGAACATCTCTATGGATAAACTTTTTGAATCCACATTGTTGATTTGGCGTGGACTTGAAGAATCTTGGGCTTATCATTCCTTTGGATTTCTCTCTGTCAACACTCATGATCCAAAACCGGAATCTTGCCTATGCTGGGCCCTTTGGGCAGCTGAGCAACGTTAGGAGAATAGACAAGTAATCCTTGCTTTCTTCGTCGAACCTGTTTGTCAGTACTTACAAGCACCATTTGTCATTGTCACTGGCTCTGGATGAGAAGGTTGGACTTTTAATGGCGTCCCCTCTTTCCTGAAGCAAGAATCCGAACTTCCTTAAAGTCCAACTGTAGGAGAATTTCTGGACACTGATCTCTGTGTAGCCCCATCTCTCTGCTTCCCAGTCTTCTGTCATTTCTACTGTGTTAGTTTGAAAGTTAACATGGATCTAATAATGAAGCAATAGGACGGTTTCTTCTTCAACCTGGGGTCACAATTACAGATATCTTTAACAAGGAAAATAAATCCTGAGAGACTCATATTGGGGTTCAAGCTTCAAGTTGAAGATCAGCAAGGCAAAGCATCCAAGCCATAACTATCTCTTGCCTCTATATCAGGCTCTATTAGCTCTCAACAAACATCACACTGCTGTCTCCCCTTAGCTTAACAGGAGATAATCCTGAGACTGACTACTGAAGACCCCACTCCTAATTTTATACACTCTAGTGCTGTGATAAAGGGCATGAGCTGGATTACTCCTATAATTTGGTTCAATCTCAGGTAGCCCTGTGTGTACTTGAACACAAAGAGAACCATCTGCCTTTGTCTCCTGAGTCCTCAGAAGAAAGGTGTCTGTTTGGCTTCTCTGGGTAACTAATGCTTTCCTATTTTGATCACCAGTGGCTTCATAAATTGTAAGCTATATGTATGCTACCACAGATAGCTTTTAGTCTTTTATTTTCTGTTTTCCCCTCTGTTCCCACTTCTATGGGGATGGAAACTTGGATATCTCTCTGAAGTTTTCTATCAAGCTTTCAATATTACTTTCAGAGGAGAGAGTTTAGGCTACTATGGAAAGTTACATCATTCAGATTTCATTTCTAGATCAAATCTTAGTCAAATGTTGAATCATATGGAACATTTTATACACACCTCTCTGTGTGAAGATAGGAGATTCATTAGAATGACTTAGGACAGCATTCCTGTTAATCACACAATGTCAGTTGTGAAGTAAAAGCATAAGAATCCAGTACTTACTCAGGTTGGATGTATCTGCTGCTCTTCAGTATATGCTGAAATTCATATAAGTATTCTCTAATGACAGTGAAGTGATGGACTTGCTGAAAGGTGAGTGCAAGCCATCAGAGTGCTTCAACTTCCCTCTTGCATGCCTTTTATATGCTTTCAGAAGAAGGTGTATCCCAATTTAAGGTGTGTCTCCTAGCCTAAGATCTGGATTAAAGGTGTGTGTCTTCAGGCCTGATGATCCTGTTCTTATGCTTGGGTTTTCTAACTCCAAAATCGCGATTTCAAATGGATCTCCTACTCCAACTCATACAAACCATTGCTCACAGTTGTACCATCCATTTTAGGATTTTTTAGTTAATTCCAGGGGTGGTCTATTTGGAAAGCAAGAATAACCATCACAAGTGCATTTTGCTTGCCCGAATTATTCTTCTATAAATAAAAAAATGATTTCAACTCCTAGACAGTTGTTGTTACTCTTCTCATGTTGTTAGAACTTATTTCTGTCAGTGTTCTCATTGTTCACAATATGCAGCTCCAGATGGAAGAAACCCTTTATGATGGGCATTAAGCAGAACCAAGCAGGATTCTCTGAAAATGACTGTCTTCTTTCCTAAATTTCATTCCATTCATACTCACTGTCCTGAGGATGGCTCTGCCAAATTTCACTGGTGGTTTTGCCCATCCTGTTCTGTTAATACTCCTTGAAAACAAATTCTGATCCACTTAAGTGTGTGCTAACAGAAGACCCTAAAGACCTCTCATAGTGCTCACGCTGAGTGCCAAGATAAAGCTTCTCATTACCTCATAAATCATCCCTCACTTGTAAGTCTGTCCTCTTCAATCTTTGAACTCCCAGGCTTACTCTGCTAGGCTTAAAATTGTAAGAGCATTCTGGTTTGCAAAGGGTTCAGAATATATTCAACAGTTCCTTAAATGCATCTTCCTTCAAATATGGGGTCTTGAAATTAAAAAATATAATCCCTTCAATGGAATGTTTTCTGGGATGGAGTACCTCTTTCCATGAACTGAATCCACCTAGTGAAGAATCACCTGTGCTATTAAGTGGCCACCTGCAAGAATTCTACCAACAAAAAGAAGCAAAAATAAGCAACCAAACCCAATTGATTGAATTAGGTGCTAACGACAGATAAGTAGTGTTGCAGCCAGATTTACAGAGAGTCAGACTGGGAATGGCTGTGCTGATTCAATCAATAAACTTATTTCCTTGTAGTACATGCTTAGAAGTACTCTTCAAGATAAGATAACTGGAGAGACATGACTGGTACAGATTATTTTGATCATTGCACTTCAGAAGGAAATCCATCTAAAGCACCTTCCTCTATGGTTTCTGTTGAATATAGTCTGCTTTTCATGGAAATGAGAATAATCTCTCCCTTTAGGGACGAGAAGAATAAGCATGGCAGTTCTGTGGTTTAACAGGACAGAACCTACCAGTGGACGAGGGAGTACATGACCTACTGAGATTCAGTGTAAGTGATTGACAGGAGAATGATTTAGGATATTCATTAACCACACTCATAGATGGGCCTTAAACACTTTTTCTAGGCGTGATCATCTGAGAAGCAGGCAAAGGACCACCACTACAGTTTGTTGGAGTAATCCAGTGACTGTGGTTTTGGATGTTATATAGATTAGGATAGAGCTGAGCCACCATAAGGACTTCCTGGCTCTGCTTCACACTCACCATTTATGTGTGCTTTATCTGATGTCTATTCTGTGAAAACTAAGACCACTGACATACTCAGGAGAACCCTTCTTCCCTGATGCTGTTTATAGCAGCACTCATTGTAAACACACTTGAGATGGGTATTCTTTGTTCTCAACTTGGCAATATCTGAAATTAACAATACTCAAATGTGCAGAGCACACCTGTGAGCAATTATTGCGTAAGTTGAAGTAGACAGATCCACTTGAAATGATTACTATTGATGGAAGACACACACCCTTAATCTGGATCTAGAGGCTGGGAAGACACCTTTATTTCAGCCCTTAATTTTATTAATTATTACACATTATTCATTACTTACATAATCTTCTTGATGAGCATGTCTCTGCTCAACTATGTTTAAAAATTGTGCAAAACTGGACTCTTCTTTTTTTCCTTTTCTTTATTTTTTGTTTCTTTTAAGTTTTAGAGATTAAGCCACTCAAGAAAAAAACAGCCTCATCTCAATTAAGTGATTCCCTTGATCCACTTAAACTTCCTGAGTATTCCAGGCTTCCACTACAGATTGCTTTTATGTCCTGAATATAATTTACAACAGGACACAAGTGTTTCCTGCTTCAGAATCTGTCCTTTGTGGACAGAGCTACATTTGAAGGAGTAGACATTGGGTTAGGGTTTGATTGAGAGTGTCTTTGTTTTGTAGAGGGAATCTCATTTAGTATGCAAAGACAGAAATATCAAACTCTGTAGATATCTGCCACCTCAGTTTACCAATGCAGGCCTAAGTCAGCCAGGGGTGCTTAGAATATCACATTTATTACATGAGAGAAAACATACTTATTTTGACACATTTCTAGTGAGTTACTATTCATAATAACTTTCCTCTACATAAGCAATCCTCTGAAGTCCATCTCAAGTGTATCTTGACTGAATATGTTAACCACTACACACATAATGAAAAATAACTTTCCTCCTGATTTTCATTCTCTCTCTTACTGTTTTTGAAATGGTGTGTCCTTACATAGATTTGGCTGTTTTTGGACTCACTCAATAGACAAGGTTGGCTCAAAAGCGTAGTGATCTGCCTACCTCTGCCTTCTGAGGACCGGATATAAATACTTGAGTTTTTAAATAATAAAATAGACAATAGTAATATGGTTGGAACAGATAGGAAGAAGAGATAGTAAAAAATACATGTAAGTGTATGAAGTATATGTGGTACACCCTATGGACCCTAGCACTTCAGAGCCTGAGGGAATTGAATCATGAGTCATCTGGCCTGGGCTGTACACTGAGTGGTACCACAGCACGGACCCTAGCAATTCAGAGCCTGAGGGAATTGAATCATGAGTCATCTGGCCTGGGCTGTACACTGAGTGGTACCACAGCAGAAAGACATGGAAGAAAACTTCATGGAGACATCAAGACATTTTTCTTGATCCCATTCTCTGTATTTCTGTGTCTCTGTCTGTCTCTCTTTCACTCTGTCTCTCTGTCTCTCTGTATATCTGTCTCTCTTTTCTCTCTCTTGCATGTGTGCTTGCATTTTTGTGTGTTTGTATGTCTTCCTATGTGTTTAAGTCACCAATGGCTTTCTCTGGTGATGAATACACTTGAGTTGATTAAGACTTTGTTGGGAGCCTGAAATCTTTGGCTGTACCAGGTCCTACAGAGAGACCCACCTGCCTGAAATTAAGGCTCTGCCTGTCCCATTCCTGTAGTAACTTACCTTATGGACATTTCCTGTACTGCAGCATTGGTGGGGTTTCTCAGTTTCCCCATGAGAAGCTGCTCTCCTCTCCAGGACCATGTCCATGGGGGCTCTTGGCTGGCAATGTAAAGCACTTATTTTGCAAATGAGTGGGCCTGCAGTGACTGCCTACCTTCTTGTCAAATGACAACTTGAGGGGAGGGGTATCTATCACCCTGACTGTAAACCATATATAGAAGAGACATTCATATTACTATATAGCCATCTATAATAGATTCCAAAGTAAACATGCAAAAATTCAGGGATCAAAATCAATTGATTGATTTATCCTCTATGGAGGGAGGAGCAGCTTCTGGGTAGAATTTTAGGAGACCTAGGCTGGGAATTTGTGAGTGGATTGAATCACCATGGTTATTTTCCTGTCCTTTAGGCCTAGTGAGTCCCTCTAGACACCATGCACTGGAGAGAGGTGATAGAAGTGGGGAGCATTTAAGATGACATTCTGAGGGAAATCATCTCAAAATCCCTTCTTCAGTACCTCTTGAATGTATTCTGTGTCCTTTCAAAGGCAGAATGTTGTCTCCCTTGTAGACCTAGCACAGTAAGCCTAGAAGTTCAAAGTTAAAGGACAGAACTCACAATGAAGGATTAATAATTATGAGGTAATGAGAAGCTGAATTTGGCAGTCAGATTGAAGGAATAGTTGTATTTAGGATCTTCTCATAGCACCCTATTAAGGAAGAGTGTTTCCAAGGATAATTTTGAGGTA